TCCCCCCCCCCCCACAAAGAGTGTTAAGGCGGACGTACGCTGACGTCATTAAATAGTTTACGCACACACGTGGCCATGGAGCTCCGTTATTATGTGGTTTCTGCGGTTTTGTTGATGTTGTTCATGTCGTTGTTAGGTAGGGTTATTTATGATATTTTCATTGTATTAAGTTGCCTCTTTGGTTTTATTTGTTGATGTTGTTATTGACGTTGTTAGGTAGGGTAGTTTGTGAAGTATTGGTGGTTTCCATACGATCCGTTATGTTCTTTGGTTGCTAGCTTTTTTTGGAAATGGATGATATTCCTAACAACATTAATGGCGATGGTTAATAAGACAGGTGTTTCAGCAAATGTCACGAGAATCAAGCCCAACACCCGTTTAACGAGTCAACTGATTCATGTCATTACACTTAAAAAAAATCCCCCATTTCTGCTTGTTACAACCCTTAAAAGAAAGAAAAGAAATGGTAGAATTAACGATGCATAACCTCACTGTACTATATGTAAATCGTATGGCAATACTAGTGTAACAGACTTTTTGGCGACGCCCCTAATATATCTTCTTTAATCATAAACTGAAAGAATGAGAAAGTTTGGCCTTTTTTCAGTGTGAGTAACAGTTGCGCGTGGATGGACGAAACGATTTCGCAATGCCAGTTTGCCCCTCCTCGGGACGCAAAAAAGTTACTAGACCTGGCCTCTTGAGAGAATGGTCCTCTTAAGTGGCCAGTAGAGATGTAAGGGTTAAATGGCTGTTCACTGGGGCTTTTCCAACTACAAATGAACATTGGAAATGCCAAAAAAAGGAATCTTGCAAACATAGCTCGACTGATGACCCCAGAATTTAGCCAACGGTTCTCTTTATAATAAGGGTATAAAGGACAAGCGGGCAAGAAGGCATAAATGTTTGTTACTGTTTGACTATACTGTTGCTCTGACAATGCGTGCTGTAATTCAGTACAAGCATAAAATTCACTGAGTGGTGTTTTGAAGTGTAACCGGATGTGTCAAGAAAAAGACTGATATAAATTCATTGCATGGTTATTGTTTGTTGAAACAAAAGAAATGCGCTATAATGACTTGTGGGAATTGTGCTTGTTTTTAAGTTTGAAACAATATCAACAAAGCCCTATAAACCGAGGTTATGAATAATATTCATTTGGCTTGGCGATTACGTGAACCGGTAGGATTTAAAACTTTTAAAATCTTTCTCTCATCGATTTGCTGTACAGTTTACGATCAGAGAGAGATTAAAATCGATTGGTTTGTGTTTATATTCCGAAAACAAAAATAGTCAAACACAGTATAGTTTTTGTCATTTCCATCCCGTATAAAATGCTAACTTGATTGTTGTCGCCAGGACTGTTTACACCGTTCGTTAATATCCTTATAGAGCATGGACTTGGATACGTGCAATGGTTTCATTCTTATTGATGGCGCTGATACTGGACCACCAGCTGTTTAGACTTCGGTTAAAACTAAAGTCTGCCTCAGCGACCGCCAAGATTCGTTGAAGAGTTGTCTTGCAGGTCAACGTCGCGATCTTTGATTTTATTATTATTATTATTATAATAATAATAATAATAATTATTATTATTATTATTATTATTATTATTATTATTATTATTATTATTATTATTATTATTATTATTATTATATCCTATATCAGGAGGGAGGCTTTATCAGAATCCAAACTGTATCTTTTCATCTGCGTGAACATCTTAATTTGTTTAAGCGGCCTGCCAGCAAGAAACTTCCTCTGTATTCCTTAAAGTTTTATTGTCCCCCATTTCATCTCCTTCAATTGGAAATTACTGAATAATTAAGTGTCAAATAAACAAAAGGCACTATCCAATCAGTTTGATCGGATTTGATGACGTCAATCCTTGCTCATTGGCTGACACCTCCTCTATTGTTCTTTCTTAGTTGCGATACCACCCGGATGGTTTGGGCGGATCCATAAACCACTGCACAGTAAACCTCTCAATACTTCTCATCTTTCAACACTTCATCCGCATTCTCTTTTAAAAATTCCCAACAGTGAACCCTCGAATTCCAATAAAGTCCGCTTCTACAAGCCTCGCGCATCCTCGTTAACTCAAGGCTGGTGAATATAATTATACACAAGTAAAGCTATTCAACTGTTCCATTGTATTGTCAGCTTTAATATTAGGTCTCTGTGAGAAGACAAGCGACAGCTAAGCAAATGATCAAAAGAAGTTGAAGCATTACTCCAGTCAAAGACAGAAAAGGAAAGTAAAGAAAGAAAATAAACATGCAAATCCGCAAAGAAGAAGGGTCGGAACATAAATCCACCAAATGCAGTGCAAATGCTTTAAAAGAATCAAAGCATTCAGTCGTCCAAGCAGAGTTTTCGAATCGAAGGGCCATATTTTTTAATTCAAATTGGTCTAGAATCATATTCTCCTTCTTCTTTTCCGAAATAACTAAAAACAAACTGCTAGGTCGACATCAGTCAGACGATATTAGTTGATCTCAACAAGCTCTTTTTCCCCTCACTCACATCCAGGACTTGACTTCTGAAGTTAGTCAGTTCATCTTAATCTTGGCTTAAATGTTCTCTTTAATCAGATCCAGGAGTTAGTCAGTTCATCTTAATCTTGGCTTAAATGTAAGCAGAGAAACCTTTTTTCCGATCGCGAGGCGCACTTCCTTTACTTTAACAACCGCACTTAGTCAAAAGTAGAGAGCGATTTTAAGACCGTAGTCAAGAGATCATTCTGCTTGTATATTGAAGCACAGATTCTTAACTTGTTGATAAAGAGACATAAAAAGGCTCTTTCTCAACGGCGATGAAGAGATAATCATTTCGATGCGATTACCTGTTTCGTATGAAAAGTTACGTGCGAGCGTTTGGGAAATTCCACGTTCTATTCCCACTTGTTTCCTTTCTATATAGCTTTAAGTACACTTAAACACTGGTAAAACGCACCCCTGATGGAGAGGGAGAGGGAGGCGAGCGTTTGGGAAATTCCGCGTTCTATTCCCACTCGTTTCCTTTCTATATAGCTTTAAGTAAACTTAAACACTGGTAAAACGGACCCCTGATGGAGAGGGAGGGGTAAAATGAGCGCACGGTCGGCTTCAGGATTGTTCAGGGGTCAGATGAGCCTACCTCGAGCCACCTACGTAAAATAAGAACTTTTTATCTTAAATCCTTTTTTTTGCGCAGAATCCTTACGAACGAATAAGTTGGAAACATTATCACAAGACCATACTTGACTTTATACATCAGTACTACAATGTCTTGAAGACGTCTATTGTACAACGAGGGAAGGGTAGCCCTCTCTAAGACTGGGAGACTCCCTTTCTGACCTAACACTTTTGATCTTTGATTGGACAAATTGTTTAGTTAAAAATCAAACGTTAAGTTAATTCAAAATGATAGGCTTCACTTTCATCTCCGTACGCTTCAAAGAGTATCGATACCCTCTGAAGTACAACCATACCACTCCACCAGGTATTTCGGGATGTCGTCCTTTGAGATATAAGCCATTCAGATTCGAAGTATGGCAGTTTTGGTACCACCAGCCGCCTTTGTGCATCCCAGCACAATCAGTACCACCACTAGGATCATTGTCTTCATCTCTAGTGGAAAACTTCATATTGCTAAGAAGGGAAAAAGAAAGTGAAACTGTCACTAAATTAGGGACGAACGCATGTTAAAGTGGATGTAGGCGAGCGATTGCTAACGTCACTGCTAACATTTTTGCTCATTAGCATACAAGTCGTCACCGTATGCAAAAATTAAATTCAAAAGTTGAATGATAGAGTTTGGTTACTTTGAGCAATTGGTGCAATTTTCAGCTCTTTGGAAGCAATAAAAAACGAGGTTTTTGCACTAGATGAAAAGATGTAATTGCTTATAATATTCATGCAGAATAAATGAAATGTTAATCGTAAACAAGTCCAAGTGGCTCACTTAAAGCGTCATTCCAGGTTGAGCTTTTTTCAAAAATGTTGGTGCAAAGAAGGGTAAATTAAGGAGGAAGTAGTGATACAAAGGTGTTAAATATAATACCTAATAAAGCACACTGTCTATACACCATCGGGCCGTGACTGAGTGGTTGGGAGGTGTGAATCATTTGTGAATCATATGGTAAATCGAAGATTAAATAGCCTTTGCGCTGCATCTTCGGGCGAAATTTTCCANTTTTTTTGCGCAGAATCCTTACGAACGAATAAGTTGGAAACATTATCACAAGACCATACTTGACTTTATACATCAGTACTACAATGTCTTGAAGACGTCTATTGTACAACGAGGGAAGGGTAGCCCTCTCTAAGACTGGGAGACTCCCTTTCTGACCTAACACTTTTGATCTTTGATTGGACAAATTGTTTAGTTAAAAATCAAACGTTAAGTTAATTCAAAATGATAGGCTTCACTTTCATCTCCGTACGCTTCAAAGAGTATCGATACCCTCTGAAGTACAACCATACCACTCCACCAGGTATTTCGGGATGTCGTCCTTTGAGATATAAGCCATTCAGATTCGAAGTATGGCAGTTTTGGTACCACCAGCCGCCTTTGTGCATCCCAGCACAATCAGTACCACCACTAGGATCATTGTCTTCATCTCTAGTGGAAAACTTCATATTGCTAAGAAGGGAAAAAGAAAGTGAAACTGTCACTAAATTAGGGACGAACGCATGTTAAAGTGGATGTAGGCGAGCGATTGCTAACGTCACTGCTAACATTTTTGCTCATTAGCATACAAGTCGTCACCGTATGCAAAAATTAAATTCAAAAGTTGAATGATAGAGTTTGGTTACTTTGAGCAATTGGTGCAATTTTCAGCTCTTTGGAAGCAATAAAAAACGAGGTTTTTGCACTAGATGAAAAGATGTAATTGCTTATAATATTCATGCAGAATAAATGAAATGTTAATCGTAAACAAGTCCAAGTGGCTCACTTAAAGCGTCATTCCAGGTTGAGCTTTTTTCAAAAATGTTGGTGCAAAGAAGGGTAAATTAAGGAGGAAGTAGTGATACAAAGGTGTTAAATATAATACCTAATAAAGCACACTGTCTATACACCATCGGGCCGTGACTGAGTGGTTGGGAGGTGTGAATCATTTGTGAATCATATGGTAAATCGAAGATTAAATAGCCTTTGCGCTGCATCTTCGGGCGAAATTTTCCATGTGCCGCTGGTGCTCATATACAGAATAGCATTACCATTAACAACCTGTTGTCTCCAAACTCCTCGGTACAACTTCTTGCCACCTCCAATACCAACCCCACCCCCACCCCCCTACCTATACCTTCCTTTAAATTAAATGCTTATAAATCTGTTACAGTTTATTAAGATTTTAGCCTTACTTGTGGTATTTCAACGAGTCCCCAGCAGTTCCGTTATATGCTCCAATCAGAATACGGTATTTATCCGTCTCGTTTGCTATTTTAAAAATTGTGTACTCGGCGTAAGTAATGTTTCCATCAAAATCCTCCAGGTCGACTCTCAGGATAACATCTTCACCAGCTGTCAAACGGTGAAGATTGTCGTTTCCAAGCCAATACTCGCCATTCAGATCCCCAAAACCGTTCTTGTAGGAAGTCCAGTTAAGGTAGAAATCAACAGAACCGTTAAAACGTTTCTGGAAAACGGTCCAGCCTCCGCCGTCAGTGGCCATGTCACAAAACACTGGGATGGGTGTGCCGCCGTCTGGATTAATGGTATACACAGCACTGGATGTGACACCATCGTTAAGGAGCTGGGCGCAGTATTTAATAGGCTCTGTTAGTTATTTAAAAACTGGGTGTCAGAAGATTTCATCTTATCACTATACTGTTTCACATGCTGCACCCACATTGAGGTAGCCTGATTAAGACTGCAGTTGTCTCATTGTGTTCCCTCCTACTTTTCAGGGACAATCTACAACACTGTGTGTGGGGATTTGCCTGAGCCGGACTGCTGTGCTTCTGTCTACTTGGGGCAGTTTGCAACTTAGTACTGAATTAAATGAGCTTTTCTCCTAGGGGGTAGTCACTACCAGAGATTTGTTACGTCTTTAGCGTCCCTAGTCCCACAGAGTCGGAGTGGGTGACAATAGTGAATTTACGCCACAAAAAGTGAGTGGCATGGAAAGAAGACGGCAAACCTTGTGTGAACGAGCTTAAGCGCGACAATAATATGTTTAACAAATTGTTTGGTCAACGTCACCTCCTTTAACACATTTTTTGGAAATAAAGACCTGATAACATTAATGTTATTATGAGTGAAAATCACATCAAGACACTTAGGTAACAGCCCTGTTAAGTTTTTCACACACAAACATCTTGCCTTGCGAACAACACCCTTAAAACTGCAAGTGAGACGGGATCTACGTTTGTTGTCATTATGCAGTTACTATGCTAGTCACAGACAGTTTATGACATAGCCACATTTTTTATGTAACTTACTGCAAGGTGTTCCTGTATATCCAACCTTACAAACACATCGCACACTGTTATCTTGGTAATTTGGAATACACACTTCATTCTCATCGCAGATGGAGCTATCCATTTCACAGGCGCTCTGTAAGAAAAACAACAACAATAAATAAAAAAATCAGTAAATAAATAAATAACGAGTTGGAGGCAACACAGCTATTCCTGGTCGAATTGGAATTTGGAAATGTTGGTTTTTGAGGAGTGAGGAGAACCGGAATACATGGAGAAAAAAAACCTCTCGGAGCAAAGTAGAGAACCAGCAACAAACTCATCTCACATATGGCGTCGACGCTGGGATTTGAACCCGAGCCACATTGGTGGGAGGAGAGTTTTATAGTTTTAGAAGCACTATGAATTGCTTCAAGTCTTTCTTCGAAATTGAATGACTTCAGGGTTCCTCGACATAATATCCCTTGGCAGTTTTGGCTCAAGCTCCTGCTGCTATATACATTTTGATGTGTTGCAATGCATCTTCAACGGCTTTAACTGCGGTACGTTGCTTCAATTCAAGAAAAAGGTAATGGAATTGCAAGCTACCTTGTATCAGAGCTCAGACAGAACTGTCGAGCACTTTGGTTAATGACTACGAAACGAGCACGGGCGGCATTTCGAGGAATTCGCACCTCTGGCAGGGAGGACGAACGACAATGATCAGTGTCCATGTCTGCGAACGTACCGATCTGTATATTGCAGAGCAAAATATAATAATCAAGAAAAATAATACCCAGCCATATTTAAAGAGGAGGTCACGAAAATTTCCAGAGCCGTAAATTTATACACGTCGTGTAGTATTTTTTTTTTCTTTGCCATAATTTTATTTTTCATTGTGATTTAATTCGGTTTTCGGTAGTATATAAAAGGTACGGTGTTGGACGTCGGGGCAGAGCCTCTCTATTCAAAACGTTTTTAATACCTCCCCATCCCCCCCCCCCTCCCCTCCTCTCCCAAAAAAACAGGCATCCAAAACTTGAGTTAGTACAAATATTGCACTACCGCACCTGCACCAATGAAACATACCGGTAGATTATAAGGAAAATAGAGTACCTGTTAATGACATTGGCTTTTGATGAGCAGATGCCATGTTTTGCAACTAATGCGATACTTGCGCAAGAAAGGGGCAATATACCTTAATTTACGAAAGGCACCACGAAACAGCTGCTGGTTTCACTCGCGATTTGAAGGATCTCTAAGATAGCATACCATAAATAACCATACATTGATTGCAGCAAAAATAGTTCGAAAAAGAATCTGTAACGACTGTTGTTTGACAAAACCCACAGAATACAGGGATAAGGTTTTTTTGATATGCGGAAGAGTAAGTGTCATCAGCCTAGGTCGATGGTTAACACTACTGCGTGCCACTGTTTTCCAGTAAATCATTAATCACTCGCTGCATTCTCACCTTGCCACATATAGAACTTGGTATGGCGAAACAGAACCTGCTGCAGTCTCTTAAACGAAATAAGTCTNCCCCCCCCCCCCTCCCCTCCTCTCCCAAAAAAACAGGCATCCAAAACTTGAGTTAGTACAAATATTGCACTACCGCACCTGCACCAATGAAACATACCGGTAGATTATAAGGAAAATAGAGTACCTGTTAATGACATTGGCTTTTGATGAGCAGATGCCATGTTTTGCAACTAATGCGATACTTGCGCAAGAAAGGGGCAATATACCTTAATTTACGAAAGGCACCACGAAACAGCTGCTGGTTTCACTCGCGATTTGAAGGATCTCTAAGATAGCATACCATAAATAACCATACATTGATTGCAGCAAAAATAGTTCGAAAAAGAATCTGTAACGACTGTTGTTTGACAAAACCCACAGAATACAGGGATAAGGTTTTTTTGATATGCGGAAGAGTAAGTGTCATCAGCCTAGGTCGATGGTTAACACTACTGCGTGCCACTGTTTTCCAGTAAATCATTAATCACTCGCTGCATTCTCACCTTGCCACATATAGAACTTGGTATGGCGAAACAGAACCTGCTGCAGTCTCTTAAACGAAATAAGTCTTTGCTTCTGTTCTTGAAAATGACAAGTGTTTAATACCCCGATATATAAAATAATTGGCAAGCGTTTAAAAACATCCTGATAATGAAAAAGATTTTCCCCAAAAAGGGTAAAATTCATACATTCTCTTCATACAAATATTACTGAATTAAAAGAAGAAGCTTTTTTCTCTTATAGATATACAAAGAAATTGGCGTGCGAGTTCCGTACGTGATTTAGGTTAGGATATGCCTTGAGTTGGGAATTTTTATCAACTCAAGGCTTTTTGTTCCATTTTTCTGTCATGATTTAAAACTCTAATTTCTACGGCAATTTAGGGACTCAAAAAAGTAGAAAGTCAAAGGAACAGATGTTAAAGGACTCTCTCCTTCTCTGAGATAAAGTTAGTTTACTGAATACCAGCTTGTCAGTTTTCCTTTAATATATACGCATTGTAGTTTGCGTTTCTTCATTTGTTAGCTCCGTTGCTACAGCTGTTGCAATTGCTCAGTGAAAGATAACTAACCACACGGTTTCAACAAAAGTGAGCGAAACTGGACAATAAAAAAGAAGGAAATAGAAATGAAAATGAAAGGGAAAGAGTATAAAGCACTTCTTAAGGTCTTACGTCTTTTCTTCTTGGGGAATAAATTCGACGTGCATTATACTGGTAAATTTTTAGGCCCGTTTCAAACGTCGTGCTACTGCCGTGCGGAACTAAATTGGTCGAATTAAATTCGACTTTAGCACGGCAGTAGCGCGACGTTTGAAACCAAGCCGTGCTACTGCCGTGTAGCACGGCAAGCTTTACCGTGTTACACGGCAGTAACTCGACTTGGTTTCAAACATCGCGCTACTGCTGTGCCGAACTAAATTCATAAATTATAAATACTGTACATCGGAGTACATTTAAAAGTTTGCTAAACCGTTTCTTTATTTTTGTGTTTTGTTTTTGGCAACAGCCCTTCTATTCGACTGAATTAAATTCGACGTCTGAAACCAAGTTGTGCTAGTGTCGTGCTGCAGTCGAGCTACAGTCGAGCCAGCTTAGCACGTCATTAGCATGACGTTTGCAACAAGACTTAAGTTATAATACTCACTTTTCCATGAACTAAAAAGGATAAAAAAATTATTCCCGCCACTCACCTGCATCCCCACGTATTTAAACTTCTCATGCTTTGTAAAGTTAGTAACACTAACGAAGCGATCAGAAGTGCTTATCTGACACTTGAAGCCATCGGTTTCGTTTGGCGAAGATTTCAAGTTGTAAGAAATGCATTTCTCTTCCTCAACACACTCAAAACTGCATGACTCTTCTGAATTGACGAGTATTTCCCTGATCACGCTACCAGTCAGCTTTCGCCCGTGTATTGGGTGGGCGAAGTTAACAGCCTTTATTTGGGGCTCCGAAATACGACTCATGCCGTATACAGTGGCACCAGCGAAAAACAGCAGCCAGCAATGCATGTTCTCTGCCGTGCGGGAATGAAATGAGGTTAATGGAACCCAAACTTTAATGAAGACAAAGAAGACCAATATCGGGTGACTTCATTAAAAGCCTCTGCAATGCATATTCTAATATTACACAGGTGAAGCGAAACAGGTGGCAATACAAATATACGCACAGCGCGTTTAATGACGAGATGCTACAGAAAATTCTTCACTAGACTGAGTTGCCGATTTAAACAACTATGAAAATCATTTCTCGTTTTCATATATTTCCTTATTATTTGATGATATATGCACGGTCTTCAATCCCATATTAGGCGAATCTTTGCTGACGTCATAGTTTTACATTTTTCATCATTAGCATACGACTTAACTCATAGAAGGGCGTGGCCGTTTATACCAACCAAACTCAAAAGTTGAAAGAGGACATTGCCTTGAGCAATTTGTACAATTTTCAGCTCTTTCTAAGCAATACTGAAGGAAATATTTGCTATTAAAAGCTGCGAAATTGCTTGGTGGCAAAAAAGTTAATGAGCCATACATTTTTTGTGAAATTTCGAGTTTTTAAAAGAGAATTTCTCCGAAACCATTTGATATATTGAGCTCAATTTTTCAGAGATAACGGGAATTCTTATGGTCTTTCAATATTTAGCCGGTTTGTTTTATTAGCTCCATAAGATAGCGATAAGCATATGTTAATGAAGCAAAGAATGTAAACAATGATTCGCCATGGGTAACCGTTAAACAGAAGCCTGTCCGGGATCCTGTTCGCGCTCGCGCTCACAGTCGTGGTGGACGAAAAAGACTGGGTCGTCCGTATTTTCTCTTTCGACTCCAGACCCCTTGGAGATCATTCGAAGGACAACATGGCGGATGTCGAAGTTGTACGTGTGAGACATACTTGCCGGGAATGTGGCAAAAGTTATAACAGGAATTCGAGGCTTGAGGAGCATATAAGGTCCCACACTGGCGAGGTAAGTAAATGATGCAATTTAGGCTTTGTATAATTCAAGTAGTCAGAAAGTAAGATTCACGGATTGCGTGGGAGGTGCGTTCAGGTACGTTCTGGTTCGTCACTGTAGATGCATGCTTCTTTGTAAGGGGGTTGAAATATTTCTCTGTTAGTTTAAACTTCTAAAATGTCACTATGTTTTCTATGGAATAAACTCTGAGCAACTTCAAAGTACCCGGTCAAACGGGTGTTTTATACCATGAAAACTATTTTTCTAGCGGGTTTTAGTTACTCTTATTGCTACCACCGTCCGCAAAAATGAAATGTATTACGCTGAAAATTTCACCCTTTTTGGTGGAGATTTATAGGTAATGAAATAACCTAATACAATAAACTTGTTGCACTTCGTGTTGGTTTTTGCAACTTCAGGATACACTGTCAGTATTGGAGTAATTTTTAAATTGATTTCAAGTTGTTTTCTTCAAAATAATAAATAATTATTGAAGCATTCGCTATACATTGATCCTGCGTTCTAATCTTAGCCATGTGACAACTCTTGGCTGCATGGCTAACAAGCCATTTCCCAGGACATTTAGTTTGTCTTGGTAAGGTCTAGAAAATGTCTACAAGATCTTTGGTAGACCTAACACAGACAAATTTAGACCTAGCTGTTTCATACAGGATGATGAACAACATCTTGCATATGTTTGTCTTGTTCGTAGCCAAACTATACTTTAAGTGATCGAAGTTGTTGTGAAGTTTCAGAGATTCCAACCCTCCTGTTTTGGCTGGCTGGAAACCTCCCGTTTCCGCTTAATACTCTCCCAGTTTTTGAAACTCCACCTTTCTTTGTTTAACCAGTCTTTTTAGCGTGATTTGGTTTCTCAGCCATTTTTACCTTTTTGGTATCCAAGCATGAGCCTGTGATAATTTTGGGCATGGTTATGCACTGGATTGCCTCAACTTTGTGTAAGGTTTATGTTCATTAATTTTGTGGTCTGCAGGAAATAACATCTTAGAGGCACATACAGCTGTATCTTAGAAGTGCTTTTAGCACTCGTAGGTGCAGCTATGCCAGTCCAAAAACCTCCCTTTTTTAGTTGAGTTGTGTTGAAACAACTTTGTATTGACACAGCAGGTTTCCTTCATGTGGCTACACTATCTTTGATGCCATTTAACTTAGGAGCCGCTGTGTTTTGTACAGCTGTACAAACATGTTACAGAGACTAAAGCATCAATTTTCTTGTTTATTTATTTATTTATTTATTTATTTATTTATAATCTTCGCCAAGAGGCCTGGATCACTCACAGAGCAACCTCCACTACAAGTTCCAGAGGAAAAAAAAAAAAGAAAATTAGTAATACAACTAACAAGAATGACAATACTAAGAAACGACAGAAAGAGGAATGCCAATGCAAAAACAGAATTTGGGAGGACATCGATTAAAAAATCAACAACACATACAATCGAGCAAGCTGTTCAATGGCTGACTAGTGTGGCACTTAATACACACACTCCTAAAAATATCAATGTACATCATAGAAAAGGTTATGAGAGTTACTGAAAAGATCATCTAAGGAAAATGATTTCAAACTGATCTTTGAGCAAATGTTGTTAACAAATTCTCCAAGGAAATTTAGAGATATCAGCTCACAGAATTTTGTTTTGGGACATAAAGCAAAAGGGTTCAGCTACTTAATCACAGGAAAGAATGGAGTAAAAAATCTCTGGGTTCTATCCGGTAACTAAGATATTTACTGACTTTATTATTATCCATTATTATCCAAGACCATGATAATAATAATGATAGTAATAATAATTATAGCAGTTTTATTTATCACTAGATCTACCATACGTATTTTATTATCTTCTTTTTATTTGTCTTTTTTTTCTTTATTTGGTATGATTTATTAATATCATCATTATTAATTTGTTGTAAAGTGGTACAAACAACTAGTGGATGTGTGTGCTATATAGAAGTGTTTTATTAAATACATTTACTGTTACTATTATCATTATTCGATGAACTAGCCAAATTTTCAACAGTACATTGTCAAACTACATGTTTTAGCTTTCAAAACAAACTCTTGGACAACCAAGACTTTTCTGTTCTCGGTAGTGTTTTTGTTTTTCCTTTTTTTGTTTGTGGCAATACCTGTACAACAGTGATACTTGCAATACTGTAATGAGCTAAGTGTAGTGGACTACATAAATGAAGATTACTTACTTACTTAATTACTTTAGACAGTTACATGTCTAGAAAGCCTATTGTCCCATGACTTTAACTTTTTAATCTGTGGATAAAATCCTATGGGATTACCATACAATAATATTGAAAGCTCGTTGGTGGAATGTTTCCAAAGCCCTATGTATTGCTATGGTTTTAACAAGAAGAAATTTTTTTATTTCTATTTTAATTGTTATTAATTTATTGTAAAAGGTTTCAGAATATTCTTGTACATGTAACAGTGGAATCGACAGGTTCATTATCACTTTTGTCCAATAACATACATGTAGTTATTCAAACTTTTTTTCTTTTCCTTGCAGAGGCCATACAAGTGTAAATTTGAAGGCTGTGATAAATGTTTCTCCAGGCCATACCATCTGAAACGTCATGCAGCTATCCACTCAGGAAAGCAGGGTTCATTTAAGTATGGTGCATTTTGTTAACTTTTCGTAAAAAGATTAAAAAGAAGCGATTTTTTAAAACCTTTGGCCATAAAAACTGCTATAAAAGAAAGCGATTTTGAAAAACATTAAAAAAAAAACACAACAATGTTTCGACTTTCTCAGGCGTCATTAAAAAAATTAGAAAATGGTGTATGTGTGTTCTAAATGTATAAATTATACAAGAAAAAAACAATACATGTTGGAGGTCATTAAAAGAAAAGTTACATACTATGTTACAAGTGAAACAAAGAGTTTCACACCAGTGGAGTCATTCTGCATTTATCACATTTAAAAATAATGTCACTTAACCCTTTAAGTCCTGATAGTGACCAAGATCAATTTTCTCCTAACAATATCCATATGTTACCAAGAGAAATAGTTATGAGAGTTAATAAAATGATCAACTAAGAGAAAATGCTTTGATCTTCTACCAAATTCTCTCAACTTATTCCTTAACCCATTCGCTCCTGGAGTTTTTGCTGAAAAACGCTTTTTGAAGCTAGTCGAGTGGTTTTCTGGTCACTGTCGTGCTATAAAGAGCTAAAACTTACCACAAACCGGTTTACAGGTCGTACACTTCATGGCCTTCTGATCCAGATGCAAAATATCAGCTTGTGAAGTTCGGGCATGCGCAGAAAGCAAAATTTCGACATAGTTTTTGGGTTTAAAAGTGACACAGCAGTCTTGGCTTTTACTTTTCGCTTTCTCTCCTCCCCTCTTTTTTCACTTTTCTTGCCTCATTTTTTTTTTCTCTTGCTGGGCATTTAGTAGGCTTCATTTTGGTGGGAATAGTTTTTAGGAAAGCTTTTAGGATCTTAGGATTAGGTGAAAGGAAAGGTAGGTGGGCAATGGAACAAGGTTTTCATGGAGATTTTCAGGTCAATGTTACATGGATTTTTGCCTCTTTCTCCGGTATCCTTGACTGAATTGTGCTCATTCTGGTGTGGTTTGAAAGATCTCTTCACTCTGCACAAGTTAGCGGGCAAAGTTGTTCTTGACTGTTAAAACTGATGACATCACAAAGGGTAGAAAGGACGTGGATCCGCACGGGCGGTTACGGGTGGTTCAGGGGCGAATGGGTTAAGGAAATGTATAAAGACCAGTTTCGAGAATTTGTATGTCGATATTGGGGCTTAAAGGGTTAAGAATGTTACTGACTGCTTTGTTTGTCTTGCTTGTTTAAAATGTATGATAACCAGATGCTCCCATCCTGGGTGTACAAAAACCTTTTCTGAGAAGCAAAACTGGAAAAGACATGAGCAGAGGTCTCACAATCAGCCATTCAAGGTATAAGATGCTACTAAATGTTAATACTTAAGGGATATTAAGATCCAACCACCACAATGGCAGCAAGACCATGAAAAAAGTAATAGGTAACTTAATAAACAAAAAAACAAATTTGAGACCCCCCAAGTCTCATCATTCTTCTGCGAGTCTCACAGTTTCTTTTTTCACTTTTCTCAGAGCCTTACAAAACTCCCAATTTCACATTTTTTTCGGCAAATATAATAATTATATTAATAGTTAATTCACCCAATGAAAAAAGGTTTACAAGTTTAATTTTGAGTGGGAAAAATTAACTTCTCACTTTTTGTAGAATCTCCAGATTTTTTTTACATGAGTCTCCAGATTTTTCTTTATCAGGGGTTGACAGGTCTGAACTTTGCATGAGCCAGGACACCTTTTTTTACATTTTAATTCTTTGCTGTTGCTTATTCTTTAGTACAATATAAAAATGTCTAATTTTGCACGTACATGTATGGAGGAGGCAAACAATAAACTTTGGTGAAATTTCCCTTCTCTTTCTGAACTTGGATATGGTTCTTAAAATCTCATATCATCTCCAGGAGAGTTCACCTTCCTTTGACAAAGTAAATGAGTTAGAGTATTTGTAACGAAAAATTAAAAGAAAGCAAACTCACTTTTTAAGCGATGTTGTTGCTGCTGTCACCATGCTTGGATCATAACATCCCTAATTCAGTGGAGCCTTGATGTAATGAAGGGCCTTGGCAAATGAAATTATCTTTGCTATAACAAGGTTTTGTTATATTGAGGTTCTTTTCTATATATTTTCTATTACTGAGGTTTAAAAAATAGTTCATTATACCGATCGAGGACTTTATTATAATAGAAGTTCGTTATATCGAGGTTCCACTGCATTATTGTTAAAAACGTGTTACAGTACATTAGGAGGGTTTGTAGTAAAGTTCAGTGGTATACAATGAAGAAAACTACAATCTCTATCTTCTGTACGTTTTACTTTTTATACTTTCTATTTTTTAAAATGTGCATGAAGGCCTTCTAATAGAGGGCCAAGGCACTAGGTATTGTGTGGGATTTTCAAAAAGTCACATTTTGGGCAAAAAAGGTGTGTGGTATATCTCTTGAGACTGTACATTATATGTAGATTTAGCATGCAGTGTACAACACTTTTGTTTTGTGGAATACTAACACTAGATTCACAAAAAAATGGAATACTGTTTAATTACACAGAATCTTAGAAACTTCCAGATCTTGTTGCCTAAAAACATAGCAAGTACTGCAAAGAACAGCAGAATAAAACTTGACAGATGACATCTGCTATATTTGAAGAATACAAATGTATCTGCTGGACTAAACATCCCTTTACATCCTGAAATTGCCGTAAAACAGGCAAATGAAGATGGGACTTAACATCGATCAAGGTACATTTAAGCATAATTTTTTAGCTTGTTTTTAAACCAGGATTTTTTTAATGAAAAATGAAACAATATTAGTGGATTTGGCTTTTACCTGATCGGAAAAATTATTCAGATCTTGGAGGGTGTTGTTCACCTCTGCCAAAACATCCTTCCTCTGATCTCCATAATTCATACTCAGCCTTGTCTAATACCTGTTAATTATCATTATGATTAAACCATTATCATTATCCTGTCATTATCAATATTAGCTCTCATTAAGAGGCAGGATGCAAAGAAAATCATTTTTAACAGCTTGCCATTCGGGCAAGCTGAAACTAGCATTTCCTAAAGCCCAGACATCATTTTAACTAGCCCCAAAAACTTTTGACGAGCAGAATTAATTTCACAGTTCTACTGTTATTCAGATTCCTCAAAAAACATCACTTGCCCAGCAGGCAAGTTAAAAACAGAATTCACTAGCCCTATAGCAAAATCCACTAGCCCCGGGCTATCGGAGACTACTTTCTTTGCATGCTGGGCTGGGGATTTCCCCCAGCTACTATGAATGTGACCCCCAGCTACTTTCAAAGGCAAATAGAAGAAAAATTGCCCCTACCCGGCAACTGAAAATATTAGTGATAACCCTGCTGTATCATCATAAATTACTACAGTTTAACCTTTCCTTTGGGCTTTACTATTCAAGGGACACCTCCATTCAGGGAAAACAAAATTTGGTCCCAAAAAAATGTTCACATGATCTTTGTATTTGTTACCTGTATTTAAGGAAAACCTCTATTCAGGGGTAAGGGACACTTGATGCGCCCGAAACCCTGGTTTATTACCTCCATTAAGGGGACATCTTAAGCACTCAAAATGTGACTGAAAAAAACAGAACGCGGTTGATAAGCCCAAGTGTACATTAGCTAGTGACTCACATGACAGATTTCACAACATGAACTATCTCACTTTAAATCAGTGTACTGCAGTTGTAGGAATAGTAAACATGCAATATTGTAGAGGCAAATTTATCATATTTTTTTTCATACATCTAGCTGCCTTAAATAATGATGACAAGTAGATTATGAGGCAGTATACAAAAATAGTTTATTGTTCCTTACATGTATTAACAGATCCCAGCCCAACCTCTATTCAGGGGACATTTGCCTTGGTCCCAAGGGTGCCCTCTGAATAGAAGTTTTATGGAGTTAAATGAATATTTATTTAACATGTAGTTAATGACAAGGAGCACAGGCATTTTCAGCAGTCAGTGGTTTGGCTCAAGCGTGGTCGGCCTTGCTTTCATCACCTCCATGTGCTCTGTACAGCGTTTTCCTGGCGGCCATTCTCTTTGTTTAGCCTTTGGATCATTCTTTTACCCCCATCCCCCCACCCCCTCCGTTATTGTTCCAATGTTAATCAGTGTGACAGGTGCCTGGTTCCGATTGGCGTGGGGGCTCATGCTGGAAGGTGAGCGTTTGCCAGCCATGGGGGCATAACTCTGTCTAGGGTGGAAACCCCTGGACATCCTGGGCACCTGCCTCAACTAAGCGACGCAGTTGTTAAACTATATTATTGTTGTAATGTTGTAATTTTTGTTAAGATTTCCTGTTGCTTATGAGATCTACGCTTTGATTTGAACAATGTATAATGCAAAAAATTAATAGGTGTTTCTTTTTGTTTTAGCTTGTTAGGCATACATGTAGTTACACTGTGTATTTGTCATGTTTGGTACCTGCATTAAAGCTAAAGTTTTTTCCCCTTGTTAAATGGATTAGTCTCATAGTACATGCAATAATCTCATAGTGCACTGAGGAAACACGATGAAAAAATTATGTCTTGTAAGTGACTTACATGTGTACTGCACAATGTACTTTTTCAAGAGTGGTGCCTAACACATATTTTTTTAACCAATTACTGTTGTAGTTTTAATTGTTACATGTACCTTTTTAGTGTGGATATGAAGGATGCAACCAGTCTTTTAAGAAGAGCAGACAGTTGAAAAAACATACCTGTCTCCACACAAATGAAAGTCTATTTACGTAAGTAACATCAATAAAAAAGTACTAAGTTGTAAATGGGATGGTAACGTGATTAAGTTCTTTGATAAGTGTTGAACGTTTTCTTTCACTCGGTCCATTCTTGGGTTAATGGCACTTCATAGTTAGAAACAGGACTCAACTGAAGTAGAAACAAGCTCTAGTCATTGCTGTAGCTCATGCCTGGATCATCAAAGACGCGAGGCGATCTCAATCATAGACCATTCTTCTGGCAGCTGTCTTTCTGAGCACCATGGTGTGAGTTGCTCACTCAGTTCCTTGATGTATTCTCCAAGTACATCCACCAGACAGTCAGTCATTGTCATGAACCTGAATAATTTCTTTACTCCCTTTATTTGACTCCCTAAGACGGACATCTCTGTAAGGCGGACACTTTGCGCCAGTTCCAAAGGTGTCTGTCTTAGACAGAGTTGACTGTAATTTTAACCTGAATTTGACTTTGACCTACGGCACTCTTCTTCAGGGTTTTATGCTCTTTCTTTTCTGTTCTATTCCTCCATCTTAGACATGCAATTTCTCTATGATGTTGACCTCTGTACATGTTCCCTCTTGTTAGTAACTATGAGATATGTCTGTTTGTCCTTCTGTCCTTTCATTCATTCATCCACTATTCATCCTTCCCTCCTTTTTTACTTCTTTCTTTATTTTTTATTCTTAAGGTACTGAATAGAGGTCAAATTGCAATGCAAAGTTAATACTTGTAAAATGTTAGTCTTGTTTTTCACAATGCCTAGGTGCCAAGTAGAAGGATGCAACCGTGGTTTTGATTCAGCTCCGAGGCTGCGACGGCATATGAAAATACACAACAAGGGTGAGTGTGATGAGATTAATTGTCTGGCTGTTTTACATTGTGTACATGTATCTCATATACCTACCCTTGAAAGGCGATATCCTTTTCTTTTACGTCATTTCACGATGTCTAGCGGTAGACTTTAGCTTTACCTACTTTGGAAGGAAAAAAAGGCGGACCAAGAATGACACAACAACAGGATATTCTGTCTGTGCTCGCTCATTCGATTTCTGATACATCAACAACTTCTGAGTAAAGATCTTACACGCATGCTCTTCATGAAGTATTCGATATGTAATCCCCAATTACATTATATACTGAATGTTTTTCCCCTATTTTCTGTTTAGGATATGTGTGCAGTGTACCTGGATGTGCTGAAACGTTTGACAAATTTTCTAAACTTGCAATACATGTGAGAAGTCATGGTATGAAATTTTCTATTCTGGTGCTCATCAACTCTCCCGTCTCACATTCCTCCCTAATAGATGGAAAAAGAAGTTTTCTAATTAAGTGGATACAACTTTGGAAATTTCGTGATTCCACGGAGGTATAATGCTAGCGGCCATCTTGCTGCCGCGCTGCCAACCAACGTTGAGAAATGTCATGTATTTGAATTATAATAACTATTGTGTTAATACTGGAGGAAAGCTGAGAAGAAAAGTTAAACTTTGATGTTTCAAGCATCATTATCAAGAGTGAGAAATGTTAATTTTCAAAGTTGTTTAAAAAGTTGAAGTTTGACTTAATTATCATGCAATTATTATTGATAATTAGGAATTAATTAATTCCTTTAATTTCTCTCGGTGTAGTATACTGCTCTTTGTTAGTTTGTCTGAGTAACGATTGGCACACTCGAACCTTTCTCATCATAGTTTTCTGGGCATCCATTCCATGAGTCGGGTTTTTTTTTTTTCATGAAGAAAGTGAATGTCCAATAATATTAATTAAAGTGTCTTAAATTTTACAGGTTTTGTTTGTGAGGTTTGTAAAAAAACCTTTTCTCGCACCTGGGAGGTATGTATAGTCTAGTTAGAGTTTCATGACTTGTTAAATAATATTATAATCGCCGTTGAAACTCCTGTTACTGGGAGCACCCTAGATGCAATTCCATGCTGGGGAACGTTTCGTGATGTTGGAAAAAATACTCAGTGTATGAATTTTAAAAAGTCAACAGTAATCAAGCTTTGCAAAACGAAAACGAACGTGAAGATTTTTCCTACTTTTGTGAATTGCAAAAAGGAACTAATTAATGAAACCTTGCATGTAGAAGAACACAGTTTTGTACGCAGTATATGCGCAGAATGAGGGAACGCAACCATCCTCTTCATCATCTTCTCTCAACACGCGTGTGGATAGATTATAGAAGATCTCTCTCTTCCCATTGTAATATATCTTGTTCTGAATTCAGTGAATTACTAGATTATTAGATTTTTAATAAACTATTATACTATTACATGTTCTACAATTACAATACTCGTCATTGATTTGACTTGCAGTTGAAAAGGCACGCCCGTCTCCACAGCTCTGATAGAAAGATGTACGAGTGTCCTAGGGAAGGATGTTCCAGGGTCTACTCCAAAGTATGTTAAAAAACGACACGTTCAATAACTTGCCTTGTGCCCCCATGTTTTTGTTTTTGTTTTACTTGCTGCTGCTGCTGCTGCTGCTGTTGTTTTTGTTGTTTTAAGTCCCCTTTTATATGGAGAAAAGGTGTTCCGAGAAAGAGGGTCACCCTCCCAGCCGAGTCAACTTAAGCGAGCGTTTACAGCTTTTTCGAGAAAGGTTGTCGGAAAAAGCGCACGTGACAATCCCGAAAAGTAATTGTGGGTGGTTTTAAGTTCACGGTTCTTCAAAGAAATTCGCCAGAATGGCACGAGAGACCATGGACTTACGTTTTCGTCTGCTAAAGGAAAGCAACGGAAGCAATTTAGACAGCTACAGTGTCAGGAACAGTGTATTGATCATATCCCATATTACCTTTTGGGATTGTGGCGTGCACATTTTTTCCGACAACCTTTCTCGAAATAGCTGTTTAGAGCGGTTTTCATTTGAGTGTCGAAAAGTAATTGGTTTTGCACTTTCTACACGATGCGATTGGCTTAAAAGATTCGCGCCACCTTTTCATCCAATCAGAAGTAAAACCAAAGCCAATTGTGACGCGCTCGCATGCATTTTCCCGCGCTTTGCGTCAGCCACATGTAATTACTTCGAGTTTTGATTGGTTCAATGTATTGTCTGTGTCCTATGTGATTGGCCAGAGTAATTACTTTGGTTT